TCTTCAGTATAAGTTTCTGGAATATGTTTACACTGGGAAAGGACTTTATAAAGAAGATATAGGTGAATGGTTATGCACGCCCTAAAACTAAAATTGATGGTTTAAAGTCAATGAATAGAATAAAAAGTCTTGTGTTTCCCTCAAAATTTGTCATCAAAACAAATAAACCCCTTAATTAGATTTTAGTTTGGCAGCTAGGGTTTTCCTCCTTTACTTCCATCACTTTATGCAGAAGTGGTAGAAGAGAAAAAAGCAGAGGAGTGTTAATGATGCAAAACAGGAAGAGAAAAATGTCATTTGATTTGAAATCCCCAAAATCTGACGATAAGCATTTTGAAGAGTCATTTTCAGTTACACGTGTTGACCATTGGGTTGCCCATTAGTAACAGAATGAATAGTTAACATGGGCCATTTCCTTAATGTATGTGAGAGTATTTTCATGCCAATCTGTTATCTCAACTTTTCCTAAAAATTGCCTGTCTTCAAGACTGAATGATGATGCGGTAGTCAGAATACCTTTGTCAGTCCAAGGGAACGGCCCCATGGCTGCATTGCACAGACCCAAGAGCAGACGACTGAGCCCAGTGACCAGCCCATGAACCTTCAGACACCACCAGCGGGTCAGCGCCACAGGGAGTGCCGTTTCCTCACTTATATCTCCTGATGCCCCATGTCCCTTTGACTTGTGGTTAAACTGAGATATAATTATACTGGAGGTGTGGCTACCAAGTGTGATATTATAATTAACAGGTCTTAGTGCTTTATGGGCTCTTTCTCAGCTTTCACTAATTAATCTACCTTGCCCTGACTATGTCAGTTTATCTCTGCGTTGCAGTCGGTGAGACTGAAGCACGGAGGTTAAATGTCCTGCTCGCAGCCCGGAGCGGAGACAGGAGCTGTCAAGTAGCTTCTTAATGAGAAAGTCCGTCTCCTGTTTTTCACAGTTTAACTAATTACACTTTAGAGGAATCCAATTTTTGGCAGCCTGGCCCAGAAAAGCTGGGAGCAGCCCAGGGGTGGGAAACATACTCGTCCTGTTCCTGCTCTGATGGCCCTTTGCTGCCCGGTCTTGCTCAAGCGTCTTGATACAGTTTTGTTTCTTGGGCATTAATTGGATATTCTGACACCACAAACTTCTAATGGCATGTTAAGGTTTCCAAACCTTGCTTTCCATTTAGTATAAAGTCTTAGCTTTAGCTGCTTATCCTGTTGTTATTGTAGGTGTGATATGTTAAGGACATGAGTAAGGCAAGATTTATGAAAGAGCTGTTCTCTCTATCATACCGATAGATGGAGAAAAACAGGGAAGATTTAGATCCATGACTCTCAGCAAGACTTTGTGAAAGACCTTCCATTTTGCCTAGCTCAGAGGATGATTCTTAGGCAGCCAAATTAGATAATGTGACTACTGCAGTTGGTGCATTTTAAATACTAGAAATGTTTTTTCTTCACAAGCTGTGAGACTGTAAAGTTACTTCATAACACTTCTTCAGAACTCTGTGTTTAAGGTTCTTGTCGTGTAAGTTAACTGCTGAAGAGCTCTTACATCATTCTCCACAGATAAGACTTAGACTTGTACCATAGTAGTTGCTCTTATCATCTTTCAGCATATGTGCTTCTTGTGAGTATATCTGGAACCAGAATAGAAATTGTAAGAAATTCTCGGTGTCGCTAGCTTCCTGCCTGAAATACATGTAAAAAGTAACGCAATTCTGTAGCTGTAACTTCAGTACATACCAAAAAGCATATGCTAGTACCACAAAGGAAACACCTCTCAGAGCATCAGTATGAAAAAATAAGTTCATGAAAATACAGTCAGAGAATGGAGAAAAATATTTGACATGCTGGATCTCTGTGAGTGTCATATTGCTTTTACCTCACCTCTATATGGGAAACTCATATTCAGAAACATCTCGGCCTTTCCAGGGACATGAACAACTAAGTGGAGTGACCCAAGCTCTCCTTGAAGTCTGTATTGAGAAACAGGATCATCCAGGTAGCATTTCAGCTCACCTGCTATTTCTTGTATTCCACATCAATAGAATCATAGAATCATAGAATTGTCTAGGTTGGAAGGGAGTTTTAAGACAACCAAGTCCAACTATCAACCTAACACTGCCAAGTGCACCATGTCCCTCAGCACTGCGTCTACACATCTTTTAAATACCTCCAGGGATGGGGACTCCACCACTTCCCTGGGCAGCCTGTTCCAATGCTTGACAACCCTTTTGGTGAAGAAAGTTTTCTCCTAATATTCATCTTAAACCTCACCTGGCACAACCTGAGGCCATTTCCTCTTGTCCTGTTGCTTGTTACTTAGGAGAAGAGGTTGACCCCCACCTGTCTCCAATTTCCTTTCAGGTAGTTGTATAGAGCATTGAGGTCTCTTCTCAGCCTCCTTTTCTCCAGGCTAAACAATCCCAGTTGCCTCAGCTGCTCTTCATAGGGAAGCAGAATCTTCTAAAATCCCCTATGAAAGTAGGAGGGGGAATGCCTGGATACTCTGCAGTGACCCAGCAGGATGCATGATGCTCAAGGGTGGCACTTCATGATGCAGAAGGTCTCTTCCAGCTACTGCTGCTGCCACACTGGAACACCGTAGCTGGATATCCAAAGCACAAAACCTGGCCTTTTAGGGAGGGAGGTCTCTCAGAAATCTCTGATAATAAAATCATTTCTCTTTAAATATTCATTGGCCCAGAGAGAGAAGGAGGAAAAAGAAAGTGTGTGCATAGGAGTTTTAACACCCATCTCCTTGGTTGTAAGCAGAAATTAAATCTTGGAAAATATCCCAGAAAACACCTGAGAGTTTTGCCAAAATTGTGTGTCCTCCTGTAAGAGAACTGGGGTTTTATGGAATAGTATTTTCTGAGGAAAACATAGGTTTGTCGGGGAATTTTCATCCCGTTTTGGTTTGAATTACACTTTCTACAAATATTGCTGTGGCTGTAAAACCTTAAATAGTGGCACACAGTCATGATGTTGAAACTGATCTTCAGGCAGGCAGAAAATCAAGGCTGCCAGAATTAGTCATTGATATCACGGAAACCATAAATTGCCTTAATTTGACGGTATAAATTGGTTTGATTTGACAGTAATTTGGCCAATGGAGACAGGATGAAACAATGGAGGGGAAGAAACCGCTACCTAACTGGGTGAGAGTGGGCCCAGAACCTTAATTTCTAGTAAGAAGAGCCCTTCATACAGGTAGCAAAACAAAAAAAGGATGCAGCTGAATGTCTGGGTATGGTTCACCCTCTTGTGTTTTCAACCAGAATTGCAGTCCTATGGAGAAAATGATTTTTACCAGACTAAAATAGGAAGGGAAGGCAGTAAGTGGGATCAGTCCTGCTCAGGGCTGGTATATGTGACTCAAGACCTATGGGAGACCAGCACCCATCTTGAGGAGCATCTGGAGGCCCGATGGGACACCCTAGTGCATCCTGCATGGCACCAGGATGTATCAGGAGGAAGGTTAGTGGGAAGGATGTGCTCTATTCAGTGAGAAGATGCTGTTCCACATGTTAGCTCATTTTTTGACATCTATCAAAGCTTATAAGCTGTAAGCAAAGAGCTTCTATTTCCTCTGTATCTACCTTTTTTATTAAAGTTAGAAATACAAAGATCAGATAAAAGGTATAAAGTAAAAAAAAAAAAAGCTGTAAGATGATTCTGAAATACTGTTTTATCAATTTAATTATATTGTCAGTGTCTAAAGAGTCATGACTGTGATAGTGGCCCTCACTTAATGGGTCAGAAAGTTTCTCCAAGCAACCAATGCCACTGAAAGGTAACAAACTTAAGTCCTTCGTTCTGGGTCAGTACAGATACGCACTCCTTTGAAGTCATGCGCTACATTTTAAGGGGCCTGGTAAGATATGAAATGAAAAACTTCTCTCAAGGAAATGCATCATTAGAAGCAATATACAAGCTAACCTGGACCACCTGCAGGAGATCCAGCTAAGTTTCCCCCTAGGCAGGAGCTGGTGGCCTGCCTGTGAACAGAGGTGGGAGAAGGCACATCTATGGCCTTCAGCTGAACTCAATCCTCCTGGAGACATCCTAAAGGTGTGCACCGCTAGTAACTGGCACTAAGTGGGTTCCTGTGAAGTTCTGGAGAAAATCAGATATTTTGATGGGGATTACTGGGGGACGCGGATCTACTACTTTTGGTTGTTTGGTTTTTGATTTTTTTACTACATGCAGCAATATGAATTTCAAGCGAGTGTGGGACTGACTTACTCATGGAGAGGATGGGAGGGGATATATATACCTCTTTCTTTGTATGAATGCTTTTAAAAAGCTTCATATTTCTTGACTGTTGGTGCCATATGAAAAAATTATTTTTTATCACCTGCATACAGACGTATCAGAAGCTTTGTGTTCAGGCCACAGAGTAAAAGTCAGCAGATTCACCATGTGCGTCTTATTTTGGACATACACAAAACTGCATTGCTTTTTGCTTTGTCTGTCTTTTCCTGCCTCATCCCCACTCACATGAAACATCAAAGAGCCTTGAAATATCCACAAGGAATTTTCCAAATGAAAGAACTGAATTATAAATAACTTAAACAAAAAGCTCTATTTGTGAACCGGTGTTAAATCATGTATTTATTAGCAGGAATACATTCCATTGGTAATCAAAGAAAAGGTAACAGAAGAAAGTAAAGTGTCATTTAACATATTTTGCAAAAACCTAAAGTGTTTTAAAAGTGTGTTTCCCCTCAAAAAGAAATGAATCGGTGGAAGATCCACTGCAAAGAAAACCACAAATTAACACACTAGTAGCTTAAGCATGATTTCTACAAAGTCTAAAATAACATCAGAGATTATTCTGAGCTACTAGACTTATTTAGGACTGAAGTAATGGTGAGATTTCAGAAAAAAATGTTACCTATAGGTCAATCTGAGCTGATGCACTGAGAGTGAATACACTTCCTAGTGAGTTCTACTCTTGCCTAATAAGTGTCACAGCAGCTATAATCACATCCTCCTGGACATTATACGATCTGAGTGGTGCACCTACAGGTAGCAGGACACTTCTCCTTCACCAGTGAATGGTTGCAGCTAAACAAGATTTTCAGATTTCTGCAGTTTCCAAAGATATCGTGATGCTTGCAAGGATTGGCTAAAATACAAGAGAGAGAAACAAAACCATGAAATATTAATTGAAAACCAAGTCCTGGTCTGATACTTCTGCATTTTCCAAAAATTCCAAATTTTCATGTCTACATAGGCTTTTGCTCTGCTGTTAAAAGTTCTTAAATTTTGTAGAACAGCAAATGCAGGCAGAAGGTGGTATCTTTCATTTCCCATCGATTTGTATGCTTTGACTTGCCCCACGTGGAAGTCTGCGGAACCCAGGGGGCCTGTGCAGATCTTCACGTACATAAGGGTGTGTGAAGGCTTACAGTCTGTTCACACCTTTAGATGTAGATGTACATCAAGACATTTGTTTTGTCTTGAGTTTTCCAGAAGAGGGCAGCAGAAGATTGACGGTGTGAGAATGCACCTATTGCCCAACAGCAACGCAATTTACCCGTTATCACAGGATGGCTGAGTTTGGAAGGGACCTCTGGAGGTCATCTGGTCCAATGTCCCTGCTCAAGATTGTGCAGGTTCTGGTGGGATATTTACCCACTATTATTTCTGGGAGCAAATGAAAGGGGCAGTTCTGGGACCTTTCATCCAGATTAGCAAGAAGTAACTACCCAAAAGTAAAATGCTACAAAAGAACAACATTATTATCTGATGTAATGCAATGTTTGTTGTAAGGAGGAGAATATATTCACTTACTGCAAAGCCCTCTGTCACAGTGGCCGGGACAGTCTGCACATTTTGGTCCACTTTTGTAAGGTGTAGCGATTTGCATTGCATTATTTCCTCTGAAATTTGAAAGAAATACAACACAAACCAGGATCAAACTGCAGCTCTGAGCCATTAACATGAGTTTATGTTATTTATCACAATGCAAAGCATCCAGAAGGTTTTGGATAAAATTATTTTCATAGGCAGTCATGTTGTAGTTTCAGATATTCACAGAATACTAGAACTTTGATTTTAAATAAGGACAATAGGGTTTAGAGAAAGAATATTAATGGATTATTTACATTTGTATGGCATTATCAGTTAAAAAAAATCTTATCTGCTTCCTTGTTCTGCTTTTCTAATGGCTTTCGAGTGATTGTGGCTTATAAGGAAATAACCTCAGCAGACGCCGTCAGCTGTTTCAGTTGTTTGTGGCCAAAGTTACAGGATGATTTGTGCATGGTGCCTGATTCTGACAGAGACAGACCTTTCTTTGTTCATATGCTAAAATTTACCCAATAAAATAAATAAATAAATAAATAAGTATAATAAAATTAATATTGCTATTTAACCTGATGCTAAAACCACAATGCACAGCAGTATTTTCAAAACTATAAATAGTTAAAATAAACTGTCATCATTTTATCCTATGCATTACCAATGGACTGCAGGAGTTTTTGAAAACATATCCAGAATTATTGCATCTTAAATGACTACAAAGGCAGTACGTACGGAGGACAGTATTGGCAAACATAAAAGTAATTGAACTGGTTCCTAGGACAGTAGGCAACTGCACATCCAATCTGGTAGCTGTTGTACCAGATTAACTGTAGAACAAAAAATAAACACATTATTTCAGAGTCAGGTTTTACTGAATTCTCATCAAAGAGCTCACATAATAAAAGAACCAGAAGATAATTTTTCATTTTGTTTGTTCAGTTTTTAAGTTTACAGTTTAGCTGTTAGAAAGAATAAATAGAAAAATGAGTTTACTGTAGTTTCCAAATGTTTTTGAACACAGTTTATGTCAGGACAGTAAAATTTAAATTCAAATGTTTTTATCATAGTTATTTTGCTTTGACATTTCTTAATCAGGTATTTAAATCTCTATACAGAAAATATTTATTTCTAAATCAATGAATTTTTTTTTTCTACAGAATAATATTTCTCTTCTGGACAGCTCTTCCAAAATATTGGTTCTATTGCCTTAGAATGAGATGAAAAAGAGTTTTAATTTATCAGTCATATTTGGATCAGAGTGTGAACGACAGATAAATGTTTGATGACAGTAATAACTTTTTTTCTGATGATGTCTCCCAGCTCCCTTAAGTGAACTCCTGTAATTCTAACATCACTTTGGTTTGCTTCAACTCTCCATACCTGAGTATAGCTCTCAATATTGACATTTTTCGCAGTTGCTCCAAATCCATACTTGAAATTGGAGGACTGACTGTACCAGACTTGAATTGCTTCAGCCCATGTTCTTGGGTAAGATGACAGCAACACATTCTCACCGCAGGTGACACCTGCAGTAGAAGGAAGTCTGTTGTATTACTTAGGAGAGAAGCAAGCTGTAGGGTGGGAGGTATGACAGAAGGGTGTAGTTACGTCCTAAAAAAATCTCTATGATGCCAACCTATTTGCACTGTGATTTTAAGAAGAGGGCAGTACACCTGATTCAGGGAACATTACTCTGGTTTTGGTGAGCTTTCAGTCACAGATACTTATTTCGTTACAAAATGTTACATGAAAATGTCTGTACGTAGTCATACCAACAGTCATCTATTGTGCTGCCCCCAGCAGGAGACAAAAGCAGGCATTTAAAAAAAGTTACAAAAATAGGGTAAGTGCATAACATCCCTCTTGTTCAAGTTCCAACAATTTGTCTTTCATGGTATTTATCTGACAAAGATGATGGTTTTGTGTTTAATAATCCTAAAAAGATATTCTACAACAGATTAAAAGTTATCCTTATTTCTAGTTGACATGCACAGGGTTCATCTGCAAATGATCAGCTTAGGCTCTGTATTTGTCGTGTACCATTAACCATTCTCTGTTCTCTTGGACTGATTTTCATCCCACACTTATTTGCCCATTTCTGAGCACTTTTGGCAGCTTTGTCACTCCACACCTGAAAGACACAAAGGAAGAAGTGTCCGGGTCACAGATAGGTTAGTGCAGTCCACGAGGAAAAAAAAAAAAAAAGGGAAGTGACTTGGGCGTTGTGTGCTGAATGCTCCCGTGGTCCTCAACAGAAAGCAGAAGAGTCGTGCCAGTTTACACTACTGGGGCATGGGCACCACATCTCTTCATCTCTTAAAGGCTGCAGAGTAGGTTATTCTGCACAGTAGCACACAGTCCTGATCTCCAGGTGGTCCTGATTAATAGGAATTTTATAACTTTATAAGTTATATATTCTTTTGGCTTTGTGTCTGAGTTAACTTCGCAGGGTGCAGTGCACTAGATGGCATAAAACTGATTTTCAGCCCAGGTGCAGCTGAGATGTGGTGATAGACACCAGCTGAACTTTGATCCTGGGGAACATTTGCAAGTCTCACCGTGAAGATTTAGCCATAAAGAACTGACCAGTTCATCTGCTCATGGGATAGGGATAACAAAGAACATCGTGGGTGACAGGGATGCGAGCAGTGACAGGTAAAGCAAGCTCAGCTGAGGACAAATTGCTCTGCAGATCTAGGTCTTTTTTGCCCCCCTGACAGTATGCAATTCAGAAGCATGCTGCTGCTCACGCTTCTGCTCCACCTTTGCTTTACAAACCCTTTCCTTAATCCAGGGCATGTGTTTTTTGTCTTCTAAGGGAGCTGCTTATCCCACAGTCTGAGGAGTGTTATCCTGTATCCAAGAGCCATCACTGAATTTTGTACCTTGTCCCAGGTTTAAACGTTTTCCCTGAAAAGGCTGGCCACTGCTGCCTGTTGCAGTGAGCAAACATTAAGGCGAGAATCATAGAATGGTTTAGGTTGGAAAGGACCTTAAAGATTCACTGTGCAGGCTATGTTAACATAGCTTTGACAGCAATAAATAGATGTGGCTGGGGCAAACCTGTGTTCACGGTTCCTGTAGACAAATAACCAGAGGGTTGGAACAGTTCCTACATTGCTTAATTGAGTTTTTCTAAATGGAGAAACTAAGACGTGTTGGTTAGGAGAGAGGTTCTGAATAGCTCTTTGTGGCCCATCCTGAGACCTTTGAAATGATTTTACAAGCACTCGCAGCATCAAGGTGCGCAAAATTAATCATGAAGTCTGCAGAAACAAAGGGATAAAATTCTGATTTCTTCATCTTAGCCCCAGAGCACCTTTCCTGCCCGCTCTGTTCACTGAGTGTGGGTTGTTTAAGAAGGCTACAATCTTCTGCTAATGATGTGGAAAGCAGGCTAATTGCAATGCATAGCTTACCATCTTCAGCATGTTCCTGGCCGTGGGAAATACAGACCTCCGTATTTCATTGTGTTGCTCAAGGATCTGGTTTTGGTTTTGAAGCTTAGAATGAGGAAAGGAGGAAATGCCCATTTGTTTATACTGAAAAATCTGGAAAACAATAAAAATGAAGGTTCTATTTATCAGAAGTTTAAAAAGCAAGATAAATTATGAGCTTTTTATCAAAGTAAAGCCTCTTGGAAATGCCCAACTTTCCTTTATTGGTTCTTCTATTGTTATAAGTGCTGGTTTTTGGTTTTTTTTTTTCTCCCTTCCTTGGTTTGAACGGCACTTTTCATTAGGAGATGTGACCCTAAATGACATTTGTAGATAAGAATTCTACCTTCAAATGTCTCCACACCAAACACGGAGAAAGCTTAGCTCTGGAACCAAGTCTCAAGATTGGCTTTGACCTCTTGTGTGCACTAAAAAACTCCCTAGCTTTTGTCAGTTGTAAGCTTCGGAAGTATGTGAAGCTGGATCAGAACTTAGAACTGTTTGCAGACCATTTTCTGAAATACCTAAGGTCAAGAAAGCAATGAATGATTTAGATTGTCTCTTATATAATGATGTCAGGTCATGAATCCTTGCAGAGAAAAAGAGTTTTAATGCTTATGTGGGAGTTTTCAGATTAAAACATCCCTCAGGTAAAGATTCTTTCCACTTTATGTCTAAAAATGAGACAACTCAGTCTAATCTAGACACCTTCACTCTCTTTGTTGTTACAGGAGAGGGCAGAGGTACCGCATCCCACAAAATCTGAACTCCTTAAGACTGGAAGAACCATTCTCTACAAGTACCTCTTTGTCCTTCCTTTGTTTGTAGACAGAGACTGACAGAGATGTGAACAACTAATGCTTTGATGCTTAAGTCAGTGTTC